TGCGTGAGCCGCCCTGCGCCAGCTGCCGAATGCACCACAAAGACCACCATAGCCCCCCGGCCCCCCCCACGCCACTGGTGACGGTGACGTCTCAAGTGTGAGGAAGACAGGGATGCTTAACCCCCTGCGTGCCGACCGGCAAACCACTGCGGCCTGCCTGGGAGAGGGCTCTGGGTCCCACTGGGGTCCTGCTCCCTGGTTTTGGGGGATGCGGCGACAGCGAGCAGCGACTCCCTGTGCCCCCCCCCTCCGGGGAGGGGGTCAGCCACCGAACCCCCTCGGTGCCACTGCCACGGGGCCAAACCATGCCCTGGGAGCCCCATTTCGGCAAGGCAGCACCATCCATCCCCCCTCGGCTTTCCCCAGATTGGGGCCAGGAGGGGTTTGGATGGCTCCTGCTGGTGCAGAGCTGTTCCCACTGGGGAGATGCTCTGCTTGGGGAGGTAGGAAGCAGGGGGGGAACCCCAAAATTGGAGTACTTCTGCTTTTCCACCCTGCACCCCCTTTTCCCAGTCCAGTGCTGGGCATCACGGTAGGGACATCAAGAGGGACCTCCAGTGTTGTGGTCACCCCAGGTCTGGCTCATCCAGCAGCACCCAGGGGTGCCCCCCAGGGACACAGCATGGGTGACAGCAGCTCTTCGCTCCTTTACAAGGGCATTTCTGCGCAGCAAAGCACAGCATGGGTGCCCAGCCTACAGCACCCCAATGCCAGCCAGGGCACCCGGCACCAAGCCTTGGCCCCGGGGTGCAGTGGGCAGGGAAGGGACCTGCTCTGGGATGGTGAGCAGCTGGGGAAAGGCTGAGGTTGCCAGCGAGGATACACGGCTCGAAGGGAGGGAGCGGCAGAAGAAACGAGCAAGGAAGTGAGAAATCCCCGTTTTGCTCCAAAACTCTCTGCAGACCACAGCTCAGCCCCAAATGCTGCCCGCAGTGGGGCTGGCACTGGGTTCCCCCCGGGCACGTGTGCCTGTGGGTGTGCCACCCGCAGAGGGGCTGTGCCAAGGGAGAAGCCACCCAGAGCCCACCCTGATGCCCCAGTGTGGGGGCATGCTTGGGCCAGGTGGGTGCTGCCCAGTGTGCCACTGGTAAATAGGGGATTTTGTGGGGTTGCACTGGCCACCAGCACTGTGCATTGTCCCAAAGGGACGGTGTCCATCCCCGTCCCCAGTCCTGCCCAGCTGACATGTCCTGCCCGGGGCTGTGTCATGGGGACATGGATGGGAGAGGAGCGTGGGGGGCACGGAAGGGCTGGCCAAGGTGCTGGCACCCCGAGTGCTGCCAGCGTCGCAGCCGGAGGGTCTGGCAGTGCAGCGGGACGAGGGCTGTGGGGAAGCCAGGGCGAGTGATGGTGACTCCCGCTCCCCACGGCTCCCGGCAGTTTGGTGGGGCTGATCTGGCTGCAGCAACCCAGGGCAGTGGGGGGGCTGTGGCTGGGGGGTCCCTCCCGTTGG